ACTGGGACGGACCTGACCATTCTCTACTATATTACCAAGGTACTCTATAGACTTTTTGAAAAAGCTGCATTTGTCAATATTAATGGAAAACCCGGATTGCCGCAATGCTATCAAGATTCTTTCCAAATATGAAAGACCAGAGGAAAAGTCGCGGCATTTGCTTATGACGTCATCTATGTACACTTGGGCTACGCTATCGTTGTGACCATTATTGGCACTGCCAGAATTCAGTAGCGGACCTAACGCGCGATTAATGCACCTTTGGTAAACGGACGGCGCGTTACAGAGACCAAAGGGCATGGTTAGGTATTCGTAGAGACCATCGGGTGTCACAAAAGCGGTTTTCTCGATTGAATCTGGGGCAATAGGAATCTGATGGAATCCGGATGCCATATCTAAACTCGTGTAATACTGTCCACCAGCTAACTGATCGATTTGATCAGCAATTAGAGGTAGGGGATAGTGATCGCGTACCGTGTTACTATTTAACTCCCGATAATCGACGCACATTCGGTCGTCGCCATTTTTCTTCTTGACTAAAATAATTGGACTCGAATATGGAGATTTACTTTCCCGCACAATATCGTTCTCAATTAATTCAGCGACTATTTCCTTAACCTTTTCACGCTCGACTGGACTTAACCTATAAGGCCTTCTCTCAACAAATTTGTCTTCATTCTTTAAACGGATTTCTAGTTGACCTGTATTGACTCGAGATTTAGCAAAACCGCGCGTAAAGAGATCTGAGTACTGGTTAAGCAAAGTGAACAATTGATCTACCTCGGATTGTTCCTTTAGATCGTGATCCATATTGTCAAATATACCGCTGTCGGCTCGTACATGCATGACAAGTGGGCATGGTACTAGTTTCGCGCTATTCTGTGTCACTAAAACACTTAAACCGGTATCGTGTAGTAAATTCGCACCGATTAGAACATCCGAAGTCATTTCAAAATCGGGCAAAACATTGAACACGATTTCTACGTTAGTATTATCTATGACGCATATGGTCTTTATTCTCCAAGTGGAGATCACCGGGAATGGACCTATACCTCGCAAGTAACTAACTATTTGTTCTCTACGACCTGGTAACTTGTTTGCAATAGATTCGCGCATTACCGAACATTCGGCCCCACTATCAAATACCGTATCTATCGTAATGTCACCTACACGCATGGGCATAGTATTCAAACTAGAGTGACTGCTAGCCACCGAATTAATGTTGGGAACTATCGCTTTTTCCCGGCGGTAGCAAGTGTCAAACGTATGACCTGGTTTGGAACAATATGAACAAAACTTATTATTCGTGTCATTTGGCTTTGATGAGGGGTGGGACTGAGGGACCCCACCGGTTGTTTGCACATTCGGATTAGCAGCATTTTTGTTACGGCAATTACTGAAAGAATGGCCAGTTCTTTTACAATGATTACAGTAAAGAGAAGCATGGGGTTTATTACTATCTGAAAATCGAGGGCGTTTATGCAATGGTTGATTAGGATTCAGATTGTTTTGGCTAGAACGTTTGCTAGATCTAATAGTGGAAGCAACAGAGATCAGTTCGGGCACTGAACTAGCTCTGGCATTCATTAATTCAATTCTAAGGCGCTCGTCACTAATAGTTCCTATTACCGCTTCTACCGCATCACTATTGTCAAGCATATCTTTAGTCACACGTCTCCATAAAATCCACGACTGGGTCAAAAATTCCGAAATATCTTTGGAATCATCGTAGGTATGCTCTCTAAAACGGACTATATCCCTTGAGTAACGCGTTTCGGGCTCAAACGTTGTTATAATTATTTGACGTAGCTCTTCCCACGTTGAGGTAGTTACAAGCCAGTTATCGGCCCATATTTTAGCACGCCCTTTCAACAAGCTGGTCACTTTCATGCGAATGTCGTAGTCACTGAGCTCATAGGTATCTTTAGCCGTAGAAATATGATTACACCACTCACGTACACCAACATTACCATCAGGATCATATGAGGGTAGGAAGACCTCTGTGATTTTAACCTTATTATTGGGTTGTTGGAGTCGTTCAGCCATGGTCTGCATCATTTTCATCATGTGTAGGAAAAAAATCAGGTGGTACATTACCAATTTGTTGTGATACTGGGCTTGCAGTGTGCTCACTAGGAGTCGGGTTGCTCGGTCCCGAAGGACACGTAGGAGGCTCATCTGACTCGGCTCCGTCCATGGTGCACGCTGTAATGCTTCAGTCAGGATTATCTGAAATCGTCGAAAGACCAGAGCAGAAAGGGGATCGCATGGCGATCCCACTTCTGATATCGAAACAGAATTTGGGTTCGATTTAAAAAGTAATGTAAAACCGTTGACCTTTATCAAGGTCAAGGCTCTACAGTCTTTATTTAAGCTAAGAAGGTAATAACGATTAAATGAAACATAAAACAGTTAAGGAGTTGACTTGTTTTTAATAGTTATTTCAGTAATGTTTGGGGGGTAGGTGAAATTACGTCTGTTCGCTAAGGAATTACCATTATGAGAAGAACAGACAAGAAACTCATAAGGTTTTCTTTTTCAACAGTCAAACATTATTACAATTTCATTTACTTCAACTAAAAAACTTAGAAAGTTAATACTCAACATTTAAATAACTATTTTCCAACACTATTTCTTAACAAATTGACTTTAACTCAATAACTATCGAAATAATAGCAAGACACTAATTTGATTTGGAATTCGGGGAGAAATTGGACAAAGGTTCAACACTCACTTGTTTTCCCGCTCAAAATCCGTCACAGACTCCCTCTCAATAATGTTTTTCAAGCCCACCTGCCGCCACTCTGGCGGCAACGTCTAGTTGCGCGTCAAAACGGAGGTAGATGGCGCTAACGTATTTTCGTAATATTAAATTTACCACAAATAACCATATTAAGAATTCCAAATCAAGCCTTAATTATTTAAACAATATTACAAATAAGTTCTGATAGTCTAAAGCAATCAAAACATTTAAAATAGTAAAAAAAACTTACATTGAAAGTACTCACAAAGACTTGCATCAAATTAACTCACCAAAATTAAAACTTCACGTTAATACAGTATTATGAATTACAATCTTGTCTAAAAATTCTAATTAGATTTTAGAGAGTGAAATTTATAATCAAAAATAATTAATAACAATAATCAATTTAATTAATTTCCGGCGCCTCCAAAACTCCGCGGCGACATATATATTGATACAACTATGCAGCAGTCGAATATAAGCTTCTATATTTAAATAAAATAAGCTTAGATATTAAAAAAACACGAGTTTAAAAACATAGTTTCACAAACTATATAAATAATGTTTAAAAAAACCTGTATAATATAATGTATTGTTGACGATATTAACTTCAATAAGAACAAAAAAATAAACATCATGTACCTTTTTTTTTTTTTTTTTTTTTCCGTGAAACATCATGTACCTAATTTTTAAATGGTAATGTTCCTTAATGTAACGCCTAAAGTAAACATAACAGCAATTTCACAAATACATAATATATTTAAACTCCGAATGCGAACGCAACAAGTAACGTTGGATTTTAATTTTACATATACATACACACTTCTCTCAAATCAATTACAGGTGTATTTAAACAGCCGCTTTGTTACCCAATAGATAGATATGTCAGTCCAAATCACTGTCAGCAATTCCAAATGGTCTACTTCCACCATTTGGAATTCCTGACAGTGATTTGGACTTTTATGGCTTTTCAATCAACAAAACTAATTGTCGATTATATTGTCTATGAGTAATCGTATATTAAATCAGCTGATTATAGGAATTAAAGTTGTGAAAAGGATGTTTACCGTTGGAAAGCCATGCTTCGGCATAACGGGCTTTACTAGACCGAAGTGATACTACGGCCTTACAGAAAACCGGTGTTTGCAATTCTTTCGATGCCATTTATTTGGTATTGATTTTCTAATACTGGAGGGTGGACTGAAAGGGAGTTCTTGTTGCTGTTGAGTAACAGGTGTCCATGATCATCATCATCAACAGCCTTTAATAGTCCACTGCTGGACATAGGTCTCTTATTAGAAAGGAGGATTTAGGCTAATATACCACGTGGTATAGTTATAATACATAGACATATTAGTATATGAAATGTTATGTTTTGAGAGGATTCATAGAGAAAGATTTAAATTATTAAAAAAAGTATTGTAGGGTGTAAATATTTACCGCTTTAAACTACTCAACGAATCACGTTTAGTTTTAACAACAACGTATCACTTTCTTAAAAAAAACAACATCTAAAGTTTAATGGATCTCATATAAAAACACATTCTTATTATTTTTACATTTATGAATGTTACAAACACAATGAAATAATTAACTATTCACGAGTTAAAAATTACACTCATCAGATGCGCACAAATGATATCATACTTCAATCCAGCAAAACAATAATAAATCATTTATTTACGAACTACCCTTTTTAAAAGAAAATTAAATGTCATGATGATAGTGATGAACAGATGAGTGTCAAATGACACTCTTTTATTATTTACCTTCAACTTGCAGTGGTACCCTTAGCAAACGCTTTTACATATGTGCTGTTAAAAAGTAAGTGATTCTTTTATTTTTATACTAAACCCAGGTTTTAAATCAAACGTCACTTATAATATTGCTAAAAGATAGCTCAGAAACCGTTTAGTAAGTGTATCTATTTCATTTTAATATGACAAAGTCCCAAATATTCTTAATTCTTCAATTCATTTTCATCTTAAACCTTTAATGCAAGTATTGATCTCACCTTACTTATTTCAAAACACTTGAGTGTTATCATATCGTTCTTAATCTTAGATCTGTAATGTACTTTTATAAGATCGATCAACAATTGTATATATTTTTAAACTAATCCTGACAATGCAGTTATAAGAAAATAAAATGTATTAGAAAGAGAACTTATATGTATTAAACAGATGTGTAGGTATATAACCAGTTGATGTTTACAAAAGGATTTTATTTTTAATCTTTATTGCAGATATGTGCCACAATGGTTTACACTACACCAACCAATAAAGTATTCTGCATACAACATCGAGCCTTAATAAATGCAACAACTCGAATACAATCAGAAAATTTGCATTACTTCCGCGAAGCAAGAAACTTAATAGCAAGAAAGAGTTTAATTACGGTGAACTTTATTCTTGAAATAAAAAACATAATGACGCAGCAAATGCAAGCTGCTCATTACCGTAAGGTTTGCAGAAAACAAATGATAAGACCGGCTGTGCCTGTACCAACTAACACCTTTGTAACTACTTGCTGCCCATATCAACATGAATATAGTTACCCCATAACAATGAATGGCTGGAGTTCTATGCATACACCTTTACTTCCAGTTGGCCCTGTACCATTTTATTTACCAACGACAAGACCAATATATACCACAAATTATAGGCCTTTTATTAGAACTGTACTACAGCCACTGTTGTCACCTATAGTATCACAAAGGATTATGCAAGAAAATATTTTAAATGTGTCCAATTATAGCAACGAGTTTAATTACTCTGCCGAACATATCAATGAAGTAGAGGAAATTCCAACTGAAGAATCACATTACACACAAGAACAAATCGTAGCACAAACAAGTACAAATTCATCGAATACAGGGGTCTCTGACGCATGTGTTGAAGTTCAATCAATTCAAAATGATCCTGTAGAATCTTATTTAAACTTACCAAAAGAATTATTTCCCTCGCCCAGAATGCTAGCACTCGATCCTAATCCAATTATAGATGAATTTTGTAAAATGGAAAATTTACTTCTCCACGCTCCTTGGCTCTTGGATTTAGAGTTTGGAATTCCAAAATCTCCAATCACACGACCAATACCAATATACAATGTCAAATTTAATAACATACATTGTAAAAATACTCCTGATGCTATTCATCCTGGTTTTGAAAGGTGTAATCCAGATTTCAAAAGGGTTTTACTATTTTACTATGACTGTATTGTATCAGCTTGGTACAGGGGGTACATGATAATGAACTGTGATAGATCTGTCGAAAATTTTCAGTCGTGGTTGCTTCTACCAATGCAGGTTTTAGGAATAGGATGGCCTTAAAGCAAGCATGATTTGCATGATGTATATAATATTTTTTTCTTCTTTGAGAAATTGTAAGCATTTTAACGTTTTTTTTAGAATTTAGGATTATATAGTACTAGGGTTTTTATTGCGGATTGGATTGCCACTGAATGAATTTAAACAACACATAATGCTCAAAAGATAACTCGCAGGAACAACATAAATTACAACGTAAATATCATCATAATATCGCTTTCCTTTGCATTTGCTTAAAAGTGTATTTTCTTATAATTGGCGTTGGCTATTAGATGTTAAATTCTTGACTTAATGTTAACTCTCAAGTTGCCAAGGCTGGGGAACTTATTTTAGTGAACTAACTTAGGTTTTTAAATTTTAAAGATCAAAATACGCTCAAACCATGCGATAGGAAGAGGTTCAAATAAAAAAAGTTCTATTATTAAATTAAAAATTTCACAACACACAATGTTTGTTAACGTTTTAATTATTGAAAAAAACAAAGGTTCAAAATTTAATTTTAGACCTTTTGATCCATGCGTGATTGTATATTATGGAATTCTCTCATCAAATTTAATTTAATTTGAGGTCCCTAAAGATCCTGTACAAAATTTGTGAATCTGTCTGTAATTTAATTGACACGCTCTTTATTTATTAACCTCCACTGAGCTCTTATCAAAGCATTAAATTCCTTTGATGTTTTATTATTGGCAAGTTATTTGCTGATGGTTAATTAATACATTATTTATCGATTTTAAATCTGTTACATTATCTCTCTCTAATCGAATTGAATTACTTTTGATTTTATATACTACTATTCTAACTGTATAGATATATAACTGTATACTTCACAATCTGTTAATATAATAAGATACTCACTCACTCTGTTTTTTATTGATTAATCACAAATCTGGAAACAAAGACAATTAGTTTATGGTAAAAGAAACCTTAATTTAGCAGGAAGATAGCTACTGCTTAGAATGGTTTTCACGACAGGCCTGGTATTATAGGGAGATTATTTGAAAGATAATTGTTTCATTTATACAGTTCGCTGGACATGTCTCATCGGAATTGATTTTGTGATAGTGTCTGATCAAAAATTCCTAACAAATTTATTAATTAAAAAAAACCCTAATTTTTGCTATGGAAATCTTATTTTTTCATGGTAGATTTTAGGTAGAACACGTCACCTAAAAATGGATTTTCTAACTGGGCCGGTTTTAGGAGAGTCAAAGGTCTTCTTTACTACTGGAAATATAATTTTAAGTTATCCTTGTTCAGAATGTTAAAATAATAAAGGATTTTAAGATATTTTATTTTACTTATTACTTTTGTGAAAGACGATATGCTAGAGAGAATATTGTCCTTTATAAAAGTACAGCAAGGCATTGTACGGTTCGTGAAGTTGAAGCAGTTTCTTCACGCGTCATATAGATTACATTACTAAAAATAAAATTATATCCAAATTTTTATCTGCAACTCGAGATTTCTTGTCCAATTGTCAAGAAATAAAAAGGAAATATACCAAGGCATTAAACTTAAGCATTAAACAAAGATTCATTGTGTCATTGACAGAGAGACGCTCGAAAAAGTAGTTTCATGCAGGACGGATGTAATTTGTTTTATCGTTTATACTATTACAGTTAATACTCTTTCAATACAAGTCAATGACTTAAAGGCCATTTTTTATTTGAATACAATTTATAAATAGAAATGAAACAAAAGAAAGATGATTTTTAATGAAACACACCTTTAAAATATTTCAATATTTTAATAATTATTAACAATAATATTATTGTGAAAACAATCAACGTCATCATAAACTATCATTTAATAAAATCGCAATAGTACTAAATCAAACAACATCACTCGAACGCCGTTATTTTACTAAATGCAGTAACAATGCGTGATTTGGTACAATTCATTCATTTTCTTTATAACAAGTTAATATCAATTTACAAAAAAACATATAACATATATTATAATATCTAAGTTACTTTCTAAATAGTACAAATGGTTGGTAAAATAATAAAACTTGCTGTAACACAACGAACATAAATTGTTTCGTGCAACTAGAAAATAAACCATGCTATGAAGATTCACTAACGCATTCCAGCAAGTCGCATTATGTCTACGCCATGCATTCCACAAGGAACTAAATCAAAATATATTTACAATAAATGCGATCGCAATGAAATAAGGATAATACTGTATAATAGAAAGCTTAACTAACCGGCAAGATATATACGCAATATTTACAATATATTTGAGCATAAAAACTTTGTAGACTATGTAAATAAAGACCGAAAAGATTTAAAAATACATTGTATTTACAAAAAAAGATATGTTTCAAGTGCATAAGGCAGGGTAGCGGTACAAAGCAGATAGTGATCATACTAAATGTATCAATAGAAAAAGTAACAATCTGAAACGATTTAAATTTGGCAAGATTTATGACAATATATTTCTCTTTTTCTCTCTTTCTCTCTGAAAAAAAACCCTACCCCCCCCCTAACCCCTAATAACCTCTAAGAATTAAATAAGATGTGAAGTTTACATTTAATATGATCACTACCCCACGTGCTAAATTAAAAGTCTTAGGCGTTTTCAAGTAGAAAAATGTCACCATGAAGCTACCGTAGAGAGTAATACAGAAACTTGCATTCACGAGTTCCTTACAGCTTCTGGTGAGTCATTCAATGTACAAAACGCCTCAGAAAACGTTGAATCAAATCAACATTTTTGAAGGTAACTAACACTGCACTTGTAACAATTTTGGTTCGAGTCATCACTTTGTTCTGAATGTCACTTTCACTGTTCACTTTCCCATCACACGGAAAGAACTTTAAGAGTTGACCGTTTGTAAGATCCAGGGCACGAACTTTGATATTCTGGTGCACACACCTGGCAGGTTAGCTTCACCGCAGCCAATACCCCAACTGATGATGCCAGCCAGGAAATATCTGGAGTCTTTACCCTTGACCTAACATAAACAAAAGAAAAAATTAAATATATTTAGATTAGTATTTTCTTTATAATTTCAGGCTCAATCAGGCTCAGGTCAGGCTGAAATGATAGATAAATTTAAATCCATTAGACCCAAAGATTTAATATCAAAACCCTTATTAGGAGTGTAACGAGCTCATAAAATGATATCAGAACTATTTTCTTAAGCATCTCTTCTTACAACACAAAACAACTTTAATAGTTCTGTTAAAAAAGCATAATTTGCAAATAAGGTTAATGATATTTTACAAAATATTTCCGTTCGTCATGCTCTTAAAACTGCTCGAAAAATATAAGGTATAGGGCGCCAAATTAATATTAAGTAATTTAATTTTTCAATCTTCAAATAATTGAATCTATATTAAAAATTACCTGCAAAGGTCCTCCGGAATCTCCCTGACAAGAATCGTGACCGCCCTTCTCGTGTCCGGCGCAGAGAAAGATGTCTGGAATGAATTCGTGTCTGCCAGCCCTTAGGAACATGGATTTACACCTTTCGTTTGATACTATTGGTACTTGCACCTAGAAAGACGTTAGTTTTTGATGTTAAAAAAAACTTCAGGTTTTATAATTTTAAGTTTCTACCTGCATTATTTATATGTTAGAGTTTAAAAAGACTTAATAAACAGGCTAAAGTTATGTGTATGTAGGTATGTTGCTTATAAAAAAAAATATTATCTAATAAATTGTATAAATACCTCTTGTAAAATCGACGGCAACACACCACCTTCTGACAACCTCCCCCAACCAGTAACAGTAGCGTTTTCACCAACCAACAAATCATCGGTTGCCGGTAGACAAATCGGTGATATATGAGGAGCGAACTGCACTGGAGACTCAAGCTTCACAAGAGCAAGATCATACTCGTAAGTATAATAGTTGTATTTAGGATGAACTGCTTTTCTAGCTACCCCTCGTTCAACAAAAGGGTACTCTTCAGAAACTGAAGAGAAATCGTATTCTCCGACTCGAATCCGTATTTGTGAGGTTAGAAGACTGAAAAGGAGAAAAATATCTATGTTTAATACAAATTTAGTGCCATTGTTATGCAAAAATATCACTTCAAGCATCCCAAGACTACATCGTAATTATAGCAAAAAAGTAATGACTTGTGATAAAACAGTTTATAATTTTTTGTCTTTGGTTTTTTTATTTGCTCATATAGCAACATCAGGTAACAGTAGTATCAACTGAAAGAAACTTGTTGCCATGAATAACGAAGGTAGCACTGATCACATAATCAGGACAACGTTTCTCGGTACAATTTTGAAGTCAATTTTAAACAATAATGATATGATGCAAAGGCAGTTGAGTCTTTAGTTCATACTAAAAATGACAGTGTTATTTAAAGTATTTTAATTTAATAGTGAAAAAAAGTTTCCAACTTGAGAAATAACTTGAAATATAAACTCATTTATGGTCACATAACCTGCCCATTCGGTGAGTTATTTATTTGTCAACCACAAATAACATTTTTAAGTTTAGACCTCTTTGTCATCATATTGGAGAATAACAACTGGAATGCATACCTAAGGATCAGAATCAAAAGGGACGTGATTTAGAGTTTAGAACTAAGACTACATCACTAACTATATATACTGGTATAATAGTAACAATAAAGTAGTGGAGATTCATCCGAATGTTAAATGTAATTATTATTACTAAAACTATAATCGTAATAATTTCTTACAACTACTAATAAATTGACACCATCATGGCAGTAAAAATAAATTATATCAGAAATAGTGTTGCATCATAATATTAACGTAGCAATTGACTACCAACGGCCACTTATTTTTGTCAGTTATTTTAGAATTTGCTTATTTCAATGAGGGACTAGAACCACTCACAAAATCTTTTATCTCATACCCTTAATAAAACCACACAGATTTATATATTTTACCGCTTTGCCATTTAAAACGGATTTCATTAAAGAACTTTATATTATTTCGTTTTACGTTGTTATGTCCGTCCCCTGTACTTTGTTTTTAGAGTAATCTACTTAAACGGACTCGAGGATGAAAATATAAAAAAAAAATGAAGAGAAGACTCCGTCTGTCTTATGAATGCGTTAATCTGGGGGATTACTAAATGGATTCTGATAAAACATTTCTCAGGAAGGCTTAAGATGTTTAAGATTTTTTTTCGTGATAAAACTGAGGGTCGACTGCGAATTGCGAAATTGTGGCCAGTTTTGTTTCTAGCCGGTTATCCTTTATGAGTCGGCCGAGTTTTCTGAATTAACGTTAAGTTTAAAAGAATCTTTTTCATTAATATGCATGAATCTACTTGCGGAGTAATTTTTTTCGTGGTTACGATTTAATGTAAATTTAGAAGAACATTTAATTGCTTCGAACTCATCCAATTTCTTAATGTACAATTTTGCCTGTTTAAGACCAAAAGCTATGATAGTACCAAATACCCTAGCAGAAAATTCTTGCTGTCATTTAAGTTGAAAATGCAATTTTCCCAGCGCAGTGATTGCAACAAACAAAAATACTCTTGCCGTATGTAAGAGCTGGAAAACAGCCAGTTCAATTTTCATATAGTTCTCTTTAAACATAACCGTTTTATCATGGAACAAGATCGGTGTAGATTTTCAAAATAATGAAGCCATTTATTCACAAACGGTCGGCGAATTTTCTGCGTCCAGTGTACATTTAGGATGCGACAAAAGCGAGTCTTATTTTAAAATATACCTATTTTTCTTTTACGTGTTTTAATGTTAATGTTTGTTAATTAGGACTCGTAGTTTGACAGAGATTTCCAACTTTGACACAGATTATAACTTGCAAATGATCACGTTAATCTCTTAAAGTTAAACAGGTGATTTTTTCCTAATCCATTATTAAAAACTAATTTACCAAGTCCGTCTAGACCTTGTATCGAACTGGTTGAGACATTTTTTTTAAATAAAAACCATTAATGTACAGAATTGTCATTAAGCACTCAACATTTAACTTTAATCAGCTTCAAAATGTAATTTCTTCCTATACATTTCCTTTACATTTTAGATATGAAAAAAAACTGGAACACAGAGATCATAGGTAATCTCAGGCAGCTTACTTAATGTGATTAGATTTTGCATGATGGCAACATTAGAGTGTAAAATACTTGTACTAAGTTTGAGAATTACAATACTAAACTTATTTATCCTTCCACCAAGCCTATTCATACCGTGGGTGTCGTAAGATCCGACTAAGGGAACCAACTTAGTAGGATAACAGCACTGCAAAGAGAAGGAAAACTTGACAGCAACCCTATACCAACCCGTTTGGCCAGCGTGGTATGGTAGGCCAAAACCTTCTTCTAAGGAGAGCCCGATATCTAACAGTGGACTATTAAAGGCTATTGATGATGATAAAACTTACTCATCCACACAATGTCCAGCGGTGGCTATCCAGCCCTCGTTAATAATAGCTCCTCCACATCTATGTGTAGACGAGAAACCGAAGAACGAGGTCCTTCTGACTGAGACTTGCCACGGCCACCGCCCGAAGGTTGTGTCCTTACCGCCCATTATCCTCATCTCTGGACGTGGCCACATTGGTGTTAGCCCGCATCCTGGAAATACCATGGGAAATTTTAAATCATTCTGGTTTTTCTTAGTTTCAAGAAGCGTTTATCTACTTGGTATTTGTGGCACAAAGTAAATTGTTTTTATAGAGGGTTTTTTCACTTAGCCTATGAAAGGAGTGGATGATTTTCAGATGCAGAGATTGCGTTTAAGACAAAAGAATGGGACGTACGAAAAGTATAATCCTACAAGAGTATTTGATTTAGGGGATTCAAGTGCAGTGGGAGAGGCCTATGTCCAGCAGTGGACTGCGATAGACTGATGATGATGATGATGATTCAAGTGGAATAAGCGTGATGACTCAGATAGCTCTCATCAAAATATTTTTAAAAATTATTATCATTTTTCAACCACAATTTTTCAGCAACATTTTTCTTTACAGCAATTTTATATTTTTACTCCGTTTAAAACATAAATCAGGTTGAGTCATATTTATCCCGATGCGTTTACCAATTACTATCATTTGCATAAATTACAGACAGAAGCAAAAAGTAAATATTTTCACTTTGTTTCAATGAATAAAAATATGGAAAATGTTTAAAAGGTTTTCAAAGTAGGTCTTAGTGTAAGTAATTGGGGTTCCATCTGTGAGTTTTTGATGTATTTTGTATTCATTTTGTATTTCATGTAAGCATTTTACGACGGAAGCTGTGTGTGTATGTGTATGTGTGTGTAGTAGTTAGTTTTTCAAGTGTAGTTAGAACTTTAAAAAAAAATGAGTTTGATTGTATTGTTTTTTTATAGTTGTTATCTCAAAATTCCGTCATTTATTAAATGATTTTTAGAATATCTCGTTTGGTCCTTCTAAAAGAAAAAAACACAGGTAGGTTGGTCCCAAACGAATGACTAACATAGTTTATTCATGATTATGTAGGTCTATTGAACTCGGTTGTACAAAGTAAAATATTTAACATCTTACATGAATACAACATAAATAATGGTTTAAATTGTGACGGAATATTTTGTAACTTTACTTGCTTTGCAAACTAAATACCAATTCTTCATTGAACTCAATAAGGTGATATCTGAGAAACAAAGAGATAAAAGCTGGTCACTTACCATATCAGTCGACAAAACAAACATTATGGGAACATCTCGATACGGTAACCAAGTTTACAGAATTTGTCAAAAACGACCTTACCAATAGCGGCAGAGGCCGTAGATTTGCTTGGCGCTTGAGTCGATCCCTCTGTCTTATTGATTATGTTCAGGGCAGGATCTTTCGGTTTTAAATGGTTCTTGTGCGGTTTGCCCGTAGTTGTAGGGAACTTCTTTGTCGGTTTCGGTTTCCCCGCTGGTTTTTCCCATGACGGTCTTGGTTTCGTGATGAAGGAAGCTTCTGTCGTTGCCTGCCAGTGTATTGTATTCAGGTTGCTTGGCCTTGAATTGAATTGGGCTGGAAAGTAGTTAACGGATGGTATGAGAAGTAATAACAAGACTTACTATTTCAGGTACTTAAAATTGTGTGTTTTTTTTAAAAAGATCAATATTTTTTTAAAAGACAGCTCCCGCACTAGGAATATACCCTATATCGCGGGGGACTTTAGAAACATACATTAAACGGATACAAAGAACACCAGACACAACAACAATTTGTGGATCACCCAAAGTGTCGTCCCATGTGGGGATCGAACCCACAACACTCAGCGGCGGTAGTCATAAGCGGCGTGGCGACCGCTTAAACCATTACGCCATCCGTGCGGACAAAACGAAAAACTTAATAGAAGCAGCCGTACAGTGAAAATAATTTGAATAACACGATACAATTGCCATATTTACATCCTAACTATATGTTACTAGCTGACCCGGCAAACGTTGTTCTGATATATAAATTATTAAAGAAATCGAACGTAAGTAAACCAAAAAATGGAGGTGGCGTTAGGAATTTCACATTGATAAAGACACCTTCATTTTTTGGTTTGTTATGTCTTTTTTTTTTACTTGAAAATCTTCTCTACCTAAAATCTAAAAACACCTTGAAACCCAGACGGACCCTGCCAATTTCGTGAAACGTGAGAACCGTCAAACTTACTCTTGTTCTCAATTATGCAAGTAATTGAGCTGTCGTCAATAGCTGGGAATTGTTAATAAAGGTTTTCTTTTACCTTAGGTTCATTTTTTTACTTTCTAAACCATCTTTAAGTGTTTATACTAGAGTAACATCGTTTTTACGCTTCGGCTTTACAGAAAAACAAAACCTCTACATGCATAATCGCAGGAGAAACTCATTTGTTCTAATTTATGAAGTTCTACTCTTTATTTGTTCCTAGAAATAACAGAGTATAGCACGTGGTGTCAAACAATTAAAGCGACATCTATAAGCTGTTTCAAGTATTAAAACTGAACTTACCCGAGTTGATGCTGTTCTCTTCGTGTTGCTCTGATACGGCCATTGGCCGCGCGCCAGATAATATACTAAGACTAGATGAACTCTTATTCTGGAGACTAGTTTCCTCGCTAGGTCTATTTACATTTTGGTATTTATTTACACTGTTATATGGTATTTTATTAACTATATCACTATTTTGTTCGTTACTTGAATCTAAATTGCCTAATGAAGGTAAATTTATTTCTGGCGGCCGATATGAGTACGACGTTGGCGCGCCATCTATGGGCTTAGTCATGAACGACGGCCTCTGTGTCTGCCGGTTATTATTAGGCCGCGAAATAGTTTGCGTCGATGTTTCTGGTTTCCGAGTTGTTGTGTATGGTGTGCTAGATGGCGTTGAATAGGTGCGCTCTGATACAGTAACTGGAGTCTGGGTTTCTGAAAAAACAACAATTAAAAATATAAATAGTGTTTCTATTAAGGTAAAGGACGTAAGTACTGCAGCTATTTTAAAGAATGTATGAGTAAAGTTACTGGTATCTGCACTAGATGGCGTTACGAGTAGTACAACTGACAAACAAAAGCAAAAGTGGTTGATTTAAGCGCCGTTAGTCGGTTATTTTATCCCCATTCCCATTACTAGCCCGGGATCTACGATTTTTTCGAACCATGGCAGAAACTTGATAGTGGCGCCCCTCTGCAGCGTTTGAGATGAATTACTTAAAAAAATCTCAGAAGTATAAAAGTTCATGTGTAGTTTGGGCCTGTGTGGCGCCTTTTTCTTACAAGTCGACGGCGAGCCAACCTGGCTTCCGTATGCTTGGCGCTTTGTGGAGCAAGCTTTTTATTTTTTATTATACTATATTATAGTTTTGGCGCCCCCTGAAACTGCCGCCCGGTATGACCCTTCCCCAAATTCCGGGGCTGCCCATTATTAATGGCACTGGAAAATTTGCTTATAGAAGACTACCGTTAAGCATTAGCTGACATATTTTTAATAGGCTGTGTTGCAAGTGTTTGCAACCCCAGGTACAGAAGAGCGATGTGTGTTCTGTGGCCCCAGTGGTTTAGGGTCTGCGTTGATGAATCAGTCAGGGCAAGTAGGTAATTTTGGATTTATAGATTATTTGTTTAATCTAGAATATTCTGAACAGTATCGTGTTAGTTCCTCACCTTCGACCTGTACAGGTTTGTCCGGTAACCGGCAACAGGAGCCGAACATGAACCCGTCGACACACACGCCTACATGTGTCCCGCCCATGCGATTGCACTCTTGCACCCACATGCAAGCACCTCGCGCACCTCTCGCCAAGCACGACTTGCGTGACATTTGGTAACCTGGAAATAAGAAGGGAAAATATTAAGTCGGACACATTACACAATTCTCAATTGCATATTGTCATGAGACAAGAGTCCAAGTCAAGAATATGAAGACACAGATACAATTGGAAAAAACTGATTAAAAGTATTAGAATTGTGAGAAACGGTGTATACGAAGCGCAACAAACTAACCCGCCAATTCCCAAAAGTTCTGAACGCGGTTACTTACTACTTCGACTCACGGATGCGAGTAAACCTTCTTTATTATCAAGAAAAGATGGAAATTATTGACACAAATGACAACACCCCACATTAGGTATTGTTTTGTTATGTGCGAACGTTGTGTCTATTCCTGTACCTGAAATTACATGGGCCAGATCCTTCCCAGAGTAGGGCGCCTGAGGCTGGCCCACGGGGCGGTTGTTAGTGGAAGCACCACATACTCCTGGTTCCATTGTCCCCAAGAAGTCGGAGTTCCGATGTGATTTGCCAATTCAAGAACACTCGCAATATATATATTAATTACCCATCATCGTCTGGCTAACCTACATTGTCAAACAAGAATAGAAACGAGTCAAATGCCTTTTCACAAATCTACTAACACTTACCCGCAAACATACCGTTAAAATCATTCGGCTAAATGCATTGTCTATTTTCCATTTCTCGAAAGATTCTATTTATTTCAAGCTAGTACTTCGGACAATCTAATCTGTAAGTCGTTTGCACGTTTCTGTTACACCCATTGTTGTAAATCATACGCAGCAGCGGAAAAGGGGGTTTCTGCCGATAAATTTTCAAGTGGTGGTCTACAAATGGATTGCCATAGGCGTAATTTGATCCATCTTTGTATCGCAGACACGGCAGAAAAAAGACAGTAGGATAAGTTTACAATGTTTTCGAAATTTAAAATGAGAAAGAAGATGTAAAATGATTTTGTAGTGCTTAAATTTGAGACGTTAATCAGGTGAAGAAGCATACTAATAATAATAAAATGCTACCATAAGTTTTACGTGGTTGAGCCCTTATCCTAGTTCTAGAAGATTAGAGGCAATATCACCATGTATTTTTTGTACTAATCTAGTACAGGTTCATAATCTCTTTTTCTTCTTTGTTAGAATTTGAAGTCGTCTAAATAATATATAAATAATAAAAAAAGAATTATTATTTAATAAAAATTTAATGCATGAATGAAAAATTTAATGTGTACTTTACAAGGATGCGTATTTTCCACTTAACACTTAAGGTGTACCTAACACCTTAAGTGTTAAGTGGAAAATAAGATTTGTCTATCACTTAATAAGATACGACATTCTGTACTCTAGAAATACCAATAAAGAAACCAATATAAAAAAATCTAATCTGTAAAAGACTAATTTGTTTTAATATTCAGATACCACTGCCAAAACCCGATAAATGGTAACGATTTTGATACAGGTCTAGATGCTAATGAATATACACAAAAAATACCTATACTTCATTAATTTAGTTTAACTATATTTCACTGTACAAGCGAGTTTTAAAAAAGCCCCGCAGCTTTTAAAGAATAGTTATGAATTAATAATAATATATTATTACTGTGGAACTACTGTTGTACTTGAACTACGGTTAGATAAATTGTTGTGAGAACCTTAGTTCCGAACGAAATTACTGGTACGGTACGGTGCCGATAATTGTGTAACCAAAAGTCCTGAACTCTTCAAATCTTTTGTACTTTAGTAAGTAAAACTATTAAATAAGTTATTGGTATTATTATTCCGTTCACTAACTCACTCGCGTCCCATGTTAATTTAGTAATTTTTGACATATTTGCTGACAGTCAAGTGTGTCTTTATACATATATTAATCATAAAAACAATAACTTAAAAGGCCTTAGTACGGCCTACAATTATTGTAGTAGAATACAATTATTTAGTACAAGTAAAATAGATTCATCTTCTTTAGTTCTTCTTGACCGACCTTCACTAAAATGAAAGAAGGAAATAATTTAAAGCTGTTGAAGATAAAGATTTAAAAACTCTTTTGGGGAATACGTGATCAAATGCAGACAACATACTTATGAGTATTCAGCTACAGGTATACATGGCTGAAGGGGGTATTAACAATCAGGGATGAATTCTGCTGTTTGAATATTGTATAATAATATTGTATCCATAGACTGTCAATGGAATGCCATTGGAATAGTTTTGCACTTTTCGTATTCTACTAACTATGTAAGACCAATTGACCCGATGACTTGTCACTGAACTGCCACTGATACAAATGTCGTCGATGTCCTTGTAATAGTTTGGTAAACGGTACATTTCAATGTAGTTAACATCACCATTGATGAGCCATTGTCACTACATTGACAGTCTATTGTTACAGACACTGTGAATTTATGTTAGCAGAATACCGATATTTTGACCATTTTTAATGGGCGTCTCAATGGCATCTTAATAGCGTATTAATAGATTGACTGTGACATAAACAGCAGAATTGGGGCCCTGATGACTCGATGGTATTTTGCTCCAACCCTATAAAAATAAAAAAAAACCTTTGGAAGTGGTGTATTGTTAGGTTACCAGATGACATAATAATCTTTCTCCTGCCATTCACACCTATTGACTCTTTGAATTCTTAATTTTCCTTATATCTAAAGTGCGTCACACTACTATAAGGTACGCTGTTCTATCTTTTATCTTTAAGACAACATGACAATCCCTACTTTCGGTCTACGTAAAAATCATCTTAATAAAGTTGGCTCGTAATGGATGAACAGCCTGTCGCTACCTGCGATACAAGCCTGTAATTTATTACTTCGAGTTAGAAACACTATTACTTAAGTTGTTTAGCTTCGACTACGGTCTCTTTTAAAGACTTATCAAGTAAACATGCTTTGAGCCTAAATATTTAAGACTGTATATGATAAAGTTGAGATTATCAAACTGATAAGTTAATGTCTACTAGACTGTTAGTTTAGTTAATACAGTGATTACTTAATTACTTCATAAAAATACATGTTTTACTTTATATATTATGTTTGCCTGTACAGATCTTAACAGTAGTTTACTGAAAGATTTGAATCACAAATGTCTTTAATTTCAATATTTAAAGTGTAAGAATCGAATCTTACCTCGAAAATTTTAAAATACTGGTTATAGAAGTATTAATACTTCTTTTTACGCTTTATAAAAAGAATGATTTTGAATATTTATAGTAATCATTTTGGAAAAGAAGACTCACCTTGCCTAGTTTGACCTTGGATTAATGACCTTTAGAGGTCAAAATTTTGCATACTGAAGTCATATACGTGATATCTGATTGTAATATTTCCTCTCTTTTCAATTTCGGGGTCAAAAATATGCAATCCCATTTGAAAAATACCCTTGACCTTCAAGGTTGCGATCAAGGTCAATTTCAATCGATAGCCAGGTAAAATTCCTGTAACTTTTGTGTTTAACGTATTGCCGAAAAACGAATCCCTAGCGAATTGTACCGGTACTTTTCTAACATTCTGTATAGTTTAGAATAACAAGTGTGCAAATCTACTAAGTATAAGTCCTTAACATCGACGGAAATATGATCTAAGATACACGTATAAAAAACTCAAGTAATAGTGAGATCCATTCAAAATGTTCCTATTATAAACCTAGAATTGCAGTTTGAGTCTTGCCGCGAGCGAGATGAGACGCAGAATAATGGACGCCTTCACGGAGAATGCTATTGAATTTCAGACGTTTAATGAAAATGAAATTGTTTTATGGCTGCTTCTAAATGTCACAGTTAAATAGAATTGAGAATGACCTAATATATAGAAATATGTTGAAAACTCAGACAATCTAAGTCTAAGAAGCGTAGTATCTCTTTTATGTTTCATGAATCGCAAGACATCTATATGAGGCATGAGTAACAGGACGTCTCGTTGAAGATATAAAGTTTATAGGAACCATAAGTTCCTATTTTTCCTTCCTGTGAAGTTCCAATCTCCTTTTGGGTTTTGTCTAAATCTAAAAAGTAATATCTGCTTAATTTGAAACTACATGGCATTGTGTGTCAGATGCCCGAAAATATTTATTCTTTTATATATTTATGTATATACGTGCATAACTCCGTCATATATGGACGGATTTTCAAAATTCTTTTGTTTTTGGAAAGTTCTTATTTCGAAATGGTCTGTTTCAATGATGACTTTTCGAGACAGACAACGGAGCTCTTCAAAAAATGACAGCAAATCAACTGTGTTTGCTGCTAGGTTTTTAGTGTTCTTTGTCAGTAATGTTAAAAGTCGGTTTAACTTTTTTTTTAAAAGGAGTTTATTCTCACAGAAAAACCTTATAAAGTTTTGCCCTATAAAATTGAACGCGACACCTCACGTATCGTACTATACCACTTAGGGAGCGCAGGGCCGCCGCTATCTGTTTGATCGCCCGCGTGCAATACCAATGAAACCACCTTCTATTCCGTGCGGAAATCGCCCTTTGGATATCAACCACTGGAGAGCCGGTGGGGTGGTTATGAACTTCACTTCCGATCAAGTTACTTTTATAGTTATTTCACGGAGTTTAAAAATCATATTACTTAATTTCGAAATAATTATACCGTGGCATGTCGTGTCATGCGGTTTCATTCTACACATTATCATGCCACCATATACCGTGAGTTACATAGGTCGCAGGAGTATAGCCTCTCTCCCTAGGAGTAAAGGGCGGGAGACAGTCAATCAGTTAGAGTACCGTGTTTCCTATAGAGCCAATCATCCATAACGCGTCTTACTTATTAGTGTGCCAGAATTAAGCTGCGCCTTAAAACTTAATAAGATATTTGGGAATTCCACGTCCGCATCTTCAGTGATTCATATTATACTTATTTACATTTAGTAAAGTAATTAGAAGCCTATAAACATTTGCATTTATTTTCGTACACTGATCAAAAGATGTTACTATGATCAGATAAAAATACATTAGACATGCAAATTTTAAAAAAAGTATCGTTTTCGTTTGCGTGTGCGGTGTACGCTCTGCACACTCGTACCCGGCGGCCCTGAAGTAGCGTTTTTCAAACTCCACGCGAACGAAGTCGCGGGTACCAGCTAGTCAAAAATATTTTAATCATATTATAAACTAAAAAGGTTCTCTTTTACAAAGAATTATATATGGACAAAAGCAAATAAAATATTATTAGTATACTTCAATGTTATATTTATCATAGTAATCTTTCAATACATAACAACAAGTTTCAAATTTGCTTGATTCATTTTCAAATATTCAAAAAATCTCGGAGATTGTTGAAACTATCATCATTTGACAGAAAAACCTTTTTCTTTATTACAATTAAATTATAAGTCTCTTCGATGGTAAGTCTGAATTACAAACCGCATTTTGAATAGGTCTCTATTTCTACAATATATCACAGTTTCGAACATGAATATTTTATCATGTAATTTAAATTCCATGGAATAAACTATAACATCATCAAAAAAGTGTCTGCTAATAAACATCAGTAGTCCTCACAATATCTGATTTTTAAGTACCATTATTTAGCAATAACCATAAACTAGTTGGAGCAACAGCGTCTTAGCACATAACTCGTTCCTCCATCCTTACCATTGCTATTCGAAATCCAAGTCGTATTTTGTTAAA